GGGGGGGGGGGGTGTAGTTTCTTCTCTGCTTCCAACGGCTAGTTTTACTTGTATACAATATGTTACTGAACGTTCGCTGAACCAGTCTTCAGCCTGAACAGGGACCCTCCTCCAACGGCTATATTTCTTGGTCAGGGAACAACACAACACACATGCTTTCAGTCTCGGTCAAAATTACAATTTCACCACAGTAAACTAGCATCTAGCCTCCAGGCAATACGTGGTAGTGTTAATTATTGGCAAATCATGAGACTACTTTTCTCTGTTCTTCGTACAGGGCTAATCATTAAATTCAAGCTTTTCCATGCACTCAACAGATTGATCTGCTCTGGTCATCGCAAAAAAGCTTGTGCATCACTCTGAATCTCTTGATTGCATTGCATGGATGCTTTTGGACCAAAATAGTTAATTGAGATCTTAGTATAATGCATTTGCCTTTTTCAACTTTAGAAAAAAAATGAATCCGCTGCCATGGACCACCACACTGCACTCTCATAAGTTTATTCATGCAGTATTATTTATATTTATTTTAAAAATTAAGCCTCCCCACAAAAGCCCAATTAGATGGGAAAAAGGTCCGAATTTAATTGATGAGAATAGAATCATGAACCGTCTTCCTCCATGTGACGGCAGAGGGTGGAAATTTGGGTCCATCACTTGCAGACAGAGCAATGCAAAAATAGCATCCAACTAAAGATTTATTAGGCCGAAATTACAGTGCAGATGTGCAAAACCAACGATGATAACCCTTCCGAACAACAACCTGTATGCAGACATGGCGATCATGTCAACATGCTGTTGTCTAGCTGCATGAGACCTGTAAGCAGACGGCCACTGAACCACAAATACCTGACCTGCACCTCCCTCAACAATAACCCTAACAGTACGCACATATGTCGAGTGAGAAGCATCCCAAATTAATGCTATAAAATAAAATCAAATGAACAATGGGATATGGAGGGGTTGTATGCACCGGACTTGTAAGGAAAAGGTCAAGATCAAGACAGAACATCATCTTGCATGACAAAAAAACAACGGGTTGTATGCACCCGACTTCAATTTTGGCTTAAAAATCATTAGCACAAGGCATAGACACAACAATGACAAGAACAAACTCATGTAACCAAGACCATGCTCGATTGAGCTTGGGGTGAGTTGCTAGAATTCTCATGCCCGTTTACCTCAATAACTTCATTACACACAGTATGGAGAGTATAGCCTAATACGAACACTACTGCTAGAGCAATAGGAATAAGCAAAACATCAGCATGCAAGAAGTCCACAAAACGTATCCCCCCTGCTTGACAAAAATCATAATTAGTGGTTCACAAAATATGAATCCGTTATAGTCTAAATCTTGTTTTTGTTTTTATGTTTTAAAAGCATTTAAAAAAGTATTTAAAAAATTTTAAAAATTTTATTTAAAATTAATATTTTTTACTAAAATCAAAAATAATTTTTAAAAAATAAAAAATATTATTTTAATATATTTTTAGATGAAAAACACTTTAAAAATAATTGATAAATACACAGGAGAATAGCACATTCAGATTATCGAAGGTATGCATACTATTTACTTTTGACTAGTAAGAAGTCCTACATAGATTCTCCAAGAACAGCACGACTCCTAATTTCTCTGAGCTTGGAACCTCATCGCCATTCAAATTAACCACCAATGGCACCGTCATGATGCTGGTCAGGATCATACTGATCTAGACATTGCATTTAGGACCGACTCAATCAATAAATCAAGCATGCCCGCAAACTAATCTACATAAGGACATCTAGAATACACTTCTAAAACACATGAATCAGACGCAAGCAACAAAAAGAAAACCTGTTGAAGGATATCCTGTCCTGTCAAGACAAACAAATTCATTGATTCAAATTCTTTTATGACTGATCAGTTGCAAGAACAGAAGTTATAACAATGTCATTAAAAAGTCTCCGACCCTTCCTTCCTAACAATGACAAAATCAATGTCTTGAAAATTTGATCATGCATGCATTTTAATTAACAGGCTACCAACAAAGTTCATCAGCATTGACTCTTACGAATGAAAACATGTAACCAAGACACAGCTATCTCCCAACCACAAAATCAACCGCAAGATCCCATAGATCTGTCCAAATATTTCGAGTATGCGCAATCCAATCACAGTAAAACAAGATAAAGATTCACTAATCATGTAAAATCAAACTAATTACAGCCAATCATGTGAATTACATCCTAAAAAGAAAGAAAAAACTTGTAGATCCGTTTACAGAATAACAAAACCCCATATGAAAAAGTGAAAAAAATAATAATATAAATCCATACAAATTAGACCAAAATCCATTTAAGATCCGTGTTTATTTCATCTATTAAAACACGTTAATTGATACCACATCCTCCAGATCCTCAAGCACGGGCAGCAGCCACAACAGGAGCGGCGGAGGCGACAACATTAGAGGCAGCGCCACCGAGGAACGAAGACAAGAACCCAGTACTCGCGTTTTCTTGAACATCATCCAAGAAAAGATCCTCAGGAACACGGAAAGCGCCATGAGCACAGACAATCCCCACACCGACCAAAAGCGCCGAGATGATCAATGATCCAACGCTCGTTAGAAAAACCACGAAAACGCTCAGAACGATTAGAATCCCGAGCGTTTCACGGTCACTGAATGTCCGGCCGAAGAGGACCAGAGGCTGATCGGAAGCGCGGAAGAGATACAAGAAAAGCCAGGAGCAGAGGAGACCGACGAGGAGGAGGAGGGAGAAGGGGTTAGTAAGGAGGGAGAATGCGAGGATTACAGAAATAGTGGCGAGGTAATTGATGCGGAAATAGGCGTAGTTTTTGCGGATCCGGGTTGTGGCTTCGGATATGGATTCGGGTTTGGAGAAAGCGGATCGGTCGATTAGTTCGGAAAAGGGGCGGCGTTGGGAGAAGCCGTTGCGGACGGATTCGGTAATGTTGTTAAGGAATGCGCGTAAGGCGTGTGGAGGGAGTGGTGGTTGGGAAGCTGTAGCGGTGGTGGTGGTGGTTGGTTGGGGGTTTGTGATAGGGAGGACTGGCGGAGATTGAGACACCATAGTGTAGATTTTTGTTTTGTTTGAGGAAGAGAATTTAGGCAGATAACAATGGCCGAGCTTAGAGAGACGATATGAGGAATGACCTTGCGTACGGAGTTGAGAGAGAGATTTTATTATTATTATTATTATTATTTTATTTTTTACGGTCATTGTTTAGTTTCCTTCTTAATTACGGTTCAGTCACCGACACGGGAGGACCAGCTTCGTCTTGCCTTCCTACCGTCAGTTTGACTAATAAAACGGTTTGACATGCCAGCTTTCTTGGTAGTTGGTTGGTACGTTCCTGTCTCTTCCTTTCTGCTGGAAGGATGGTGAAAGCCTAGAAGGGAAGGGTTATATTTTGGAGGCCCAATGGGGGTTTCAAGTGAGTTTGGGCTTAGCACAAAAAAAGCCCACCTCGACCCAGGGATTAGCGGGATCGGGGGTTAGGGTTATGATGGTTAAGAAATAAAAAGAAAATAAAAATAAAAATCAAGGATGTTTTTAGCATCTCTTAGCTTGGGAGGTGAAAATAAAAATACGTTTTTTTGATATATTATATGTATTTATTAAATTCGGTTAAACTTGGTGGATGAACTTGATGATTAACATTAAAATAGTTTTAAAAAAAATATGTTTATTTTAATAAAAAATAATTAATTCAAGTTTATCCATAACATCAGGTATCACAACTATGAATTTTTTAAATAGATTTGTTATTTGTTATTTTGATTTTATTAGATAGACGTAGGTCATGAATCAGCTTATCATTTCATGGCTTCATCCAGCGTAAGTAAACTAGAGTTATGTCACTGCGATCTCACGATAACGTACGTCTGTTCATAGTTAATTGGATTAAGTCAAAGCACAGGATTGTTTTTTTCAGGTATTGTTGTTCTAAAGCTTCAAACAAGAGAAGAAGGGTGCTATTACACGACCAGTATCAGACAACTTCATGCGATCAGATCCAAGATATATTTGGTTAGAACATGCTCAGATCATTCATCTTAATTTATCATATGCTTAACTTCTCTAGCTCAATTGACAAGTCCTTTTCCATCTGGAAGTGAGGATACTGTGCATGGTGGGCTGACAGAAATGATTCTTGGAATTGAGAATGAATGGGCATCAAATGAGCAGCAAAGATGCATGCAAGATTACTTGCTTCAAGCAGGTGCAGAGGAATCTTAAATCACTGTTTTTGATACACGAATGATAATTTGCAAGAATCTGTATCATGCGCCAGGTTCGAACAATTTGTAGCTCTAGAAGCTAGCAACAAAGAAGAAATGATACTAAAGTGCCTTTATGCAGATGGTTTGAACAATCCAATGTCCGAGTTCTCTTCGTTGTAGGGTTAACAAGATTTATGCTGAACAGTCTGAACAAGAATCAATAACTAGTTTGAGATCATATGAAGATGCGAAGTCTAAATATGCATGTCACAGAACATCCATCAATGACTAAACAGTTATTTAGGTTAGATTTCAAGCAATTAAAAACATGGTTTTCCCATAAAAGAGGCACAGTTTAAAAGCATTCACGTTCTCCATGCCATAACCCTAGACGGAAACAGAAATATCCTACTAATTAGATGAGGTTTCTACAACCGCAAAGCACCAAAGACGCATCTGTCTGAAAGCGTGGTGTCAAAGTCTGATGGCAAGTCAGGCAAGAAGCTGGATTTAGAAGGTGGAACCATTCCAACCAAGGTGGGAGCGCTGTAAAATAAAGCAAGCATCAAACCATTAGAAGTAGCAGAAAAAACCCATAAAATGGCAGTCGATATCAACAAAATCAGATGTTGAGATGGCTTGCCTGGACATCATAAAACTTGAGGAAGAACCGGGACTTGGGCACCGACAGCTTTGACACAAGAATAGTTGAAATTGCAGAACTCAGTTTCTTGTTCACATCACTGCTAAGGCCACCAATAGATACCAATTCACCATAAGCTGCTGGCTTCTCAGTTCCTCCAAATGAAATTGGAACCGAGCCCTTCAACACAATCATCACATACTGCAGGATTGCACGCATAAAAATAGTTAAAAGACACATCTAGTGGTCAAACTAAGATATCAATCAATGAAAACATGCAACTTTTAGGTTGTAAAAACTGAAAACCAACAAAAACATAAAAGCAGAAAAAAATCTAATCAAAGAGACTACTGGTGTAGATGTAAAGAACATAAATATTGTCGACGTCCACTATAAAGATAAACTAGCAAAGAACATGCAGCCAGTGATAAAACTCATTTTATCTTTCATGGCCAAACAAGTGATAGTTGAATTAACTATATTATAAGCTACGTACACGAATCACTTCGCCCAATCGCAATTAGAACATTGGATTTCTTAACGAAACTCTTCAAATGAGAACCCCACCACCAAAGAAACAAGTGATAGTCAAAATCAAACGATAAACAACCCAATGATCATATCAAGTTTAGAACCATAAACAAACCCAAGCTGCTATGACCGTGCCAAGAACTCAAGTATCCAGGAAAGAAGATTGTAAACAAGCATATAAATACACTTAAGGCAAGCACATTTAACATCAACAATAACCCACTTAATCATTACAGAAATAAATATTTCCAAAACTTTTGAGCATCAAGAAAATATAAAAACACATTAAAAAAATCATGAATACCCACTTTAGAACATTTAACAGACTAATTGTTTCAATAATACAGAATCGTTTTCTTGCACAGAGGAACACACAAAGAACTGAAGAAGTGGTAACAGACCGTAAATTTTTAACATTCTATCCACATTTCAGCATTCAAGGCTAAAAAAACATGTATTAACAAAATTAAATTACCAAAATGAGGAGATTTAACTAAACACCCTAAAACCACAAAATAAAATGAAATAAAAAGAAACTTTAAAGAATATGAGGCAAAAGGGAAAAAAATCTTACAGACTCAGGTTTCTTGATGATTTTGGCGACCTGAGAGGAGGCTTCAGAGAGGATGGCAGATGTGTTGACGCCATCAAGATTAACGTTCGTCGAAATGTTCAAGCAAGGCATTTTCGCGGTCGATTGTTTCCACCAAGCTCTTGTTCTCTTTCCAGCACACAAAACCCGCCTGCACACAAAACCCCCCTGCAAACAACTATATAAAAGAAGCCTCACCACGTTGCCTTCTACGGACTGTTCTGGAAGTATAAATTGGTGAAATGACTGAAGGGCCCTTGTTGCCATGCTCGTGTGTAGTGTACGTAGAAGTGCTTTTCTAAATCTATTGAGGTTCGGTGCTTTTTTTTTAGATGACCTCTTAACATTAAAATTATTGAAAAGCAAAAATAAATATATTTTTAGTATTAATTTTATTAAAATGAATTTCTTAAACAATCAATTTTTAAAATAAATATATTGTTAAGTTCACTATTAATTATTTATTAAAAAAAGCTATTTAGCCTTACATTATAGATAAACTCAAAGTATTGTTTACTAGAATAATATGTAATAACAAATTTATCAATTCATCCAAAAAATTTAACATTAGTTTTTAAGGATATTGAATTTTTTTTATAATTTTATTAGTTCTTATCAAATTGATCAGAGATAAATAAATTTTTCATCATTGCATTGTGATATAACTAAAATATTATAGTTTATTAGTTCTTATCAAATTCATCAGAGACAAATAAATTTTTCATCATCTTAATTGCATTGTGATATAACTAAAATATTATTAGAAGAAAAAAATTAATATTAATATTAAAGGTTTTTTTTGTATTTTCACAGGTTTTTTGTTACTATAATATTAGTTGAGGAAACATTTTGTATTTTTTTAAATATAAAAATAATAAATAATTAAAAAGTATTAAAATTATAATCGAGAGTTTTTTTTTGCTATTACCATTAGATATTTGGATAAATAAAAATAAAAAATAAAAAAACAGGTGTGTGTAATATTGAGAGGTACTCATGCATTCTAGACGACGTGTACAAGATCTTTATACCTAAAAATATACTCTTACATCAAGTTATTAGAAATGATGTCATGTCCTCTCCCGTATGAAGTTAAGCACATTAGTGTTAGTAGTTTAATTTGTCACTAGTAGGCTTTTATTTTATTTTTATTTTTTTTCTCTTTTCTCTCAAAAAATATTACAACTTAGCCTTTTTTGTTGTTAGTGTTTCAATTTTAGTATTTATTCTTTTAATTTTTTAATTTTTTATTTTTTTGTAAAAAAATTTATTTGTTTTCATTTTCAATTTAATAATATTATATTTTTTAATTTGATCCTTATTCTTTTAATTTTTATTTTTTTCTTTGATCTTTTTTATAAAAAATTTATTGGTTTTTAATTTAATTCTTCAACCTGATATTTTTTATAAAAGTTTTATTGGTTTTTAATTTAATTCTTCAACCCAAATTGATGGTATTATATTTTTCAACTTGATTTTCATTGTTTTGATTTCTAACTTTTTTCCCTTCGTCATTTTGTAATAGTTATTATTCTTTTTAATTTCATCCTTCAATTAAGAATTTATTTTTATTTTTTATATCAATTTTGATCTTCATTCTTTTAATTGTTGTTTTTCTAAATCCTTTTGTATAATTGAAGTTTTATTTTTTTATTTTCATCCTTTAATATTTGATTAATTAAGTATTAGACTTTATGGTTTTTTCAGATAGGGTGCTTAAGTTTTAGACCCAAGTCATGAGTTTGAAAAATTAACATGTTTTTTTTTTAAAAAATTATAAATCTCTTTATTTTTTTTATCAGGCTATTTAATCTCATGAACTCGACTGCAAGTTTAGTAAAATATCCCAACTTAGTTTGGCCTTAACTATTAAAGTTACAAATTTATCATACTAACTCAGGTTAACACACACACACACACATATATATATATATATATTATTTTGATTTTTTGTATTTAATGAGTTGTAAATTGAGATACATTATTTATTTCTTTTTAATTTTTTTTCTCTCCATGTTATCCTAATCTTTTTTCTTTTTAAATTTAATCCATGTACAATCATTTTTCTAATTTTTTTAACTAATTAAAATAACTTATTCTATCTAGACGAGCCTATAACCTATGTTACACCTTTTTCTTTCCTTTTATTATACTTGTAACAACTTAACATTATTATTTTTTTTTGTGTAAAATAAATAGTTTGTCTCCATAACAAAACATGAACACCAAGGCTAGTATATACTTATAAATCAAATTTATGCTAAAATCCAATATTTATGAGTATTAAAATTATTTTTAAATTGTATATCAATTATCAATTAATAGATTGTAATTATAAGATAAATTATTATATTTAATGAAGAATCCTTAAGTTTTCCTACACCTAATGTAATTTTATCTTGAAGCCATTAATATGGAAAAATAAAGAAAATATAATCCAACAAAAACTCATCTCATATGTAAGAAAAGAACTAAAAGTTCTCAATGTTTAACCTATATAAATTATTGTGAATTGAAATAATAAAATGACTTTTTTTTATCATTTTCAAACAAAATCATAGGGCCATTTATAATTACCATATTAATTAAGGATATATCAGTCATTTATACTCTTAAAAGAAAAATAAATAAATAATTTTTATTGCTTATTTAAGTTGATTTATTTTTCAATTTTATTCCTTAATATTTTATTTTATTTATTTATTTTATCTAATTTAATCTTTATTCTTTTAATTGTTATTTATTTTATTTTCATTACTTCTTTAAGTTGATGTATTTTTTAATTTTATCCCTTAACATTTATCATTACTTCTTTAAGTTGATTTATTTTTTAATTTTATCCCTTAACATTTAATTTAATTTTTTTTATCTAATTTGGTTCTCATTATTTTAATTGCTATTTTTTTTTTATCATTTTCTTGATTTTTTATCAATTTCATACATCAATATTTTTTTCATTTAATTTTTATATCCAATTTGATCCTTGTTCTTTTAATTGTTATTTTCTTTATCTTTTTCTTGATTTATCTTATCTTTTAATTAAGCCCCTTATTATTTTATTTAATATAATTTTTCTACAAAATCTGGTCCTCATTGTTTTGATTTCTATTTATTTTATTTTATTTTTTTCAATTTCATTCTTTAACATTAGGTTCTTGGACCTTACACTTCATAATTTCTCATTGTTTTTTTTTTTATGGGATTATCCCAATCTTATCTTAAGTTCTGGGCTAGTTAAGTTAACTTAAGTTGAGTTTTTTTTTTTTTTTTAGTTTCATCTTTCATTAGTTAGTTTGCTTAAAAGTTGATCTCTATTATTTTATTTAATTTCTTCTATACGAGGTTATTCTAATCTCACGATTGAGCTTTGAATTTGGTATACTGACTTAAGTTAGGTTTTTTGTCTTTTTTAAAAATTAATTTTTTTTTATCCTTTAACATTTTATTTGCTAGTAATTAAGCTTTGTATTTCTTTTTTCTTTCTTTATGAGATTGTCATGTTCTCATTTATTTGGTAATTAAGCTTTGTATTTTTTTTTTTATGAGATTGTCATGTTCTCATTTATTTATTTTTTATTAAATAAGATAAGTAAGACCTTTTACGAATCTTTAAAGGGTATTTTTTTTGTAAGGTTGACAAGTGTTTATTTTTTTAATTAGTTAATATTGGTCTTTTTTTTTCTATTTCATTTTTTTTGTCATTGATTTTTTTTCTAATTATATTATTAAATAAAAAAATTTATTAAACTTGTTTGAATCAATGACATGAATTTCATATTTTTCTTGGTCATTAAAAATACTATCATTACTTAGTCATTCTTTTATTTTTATATTAGAAAACTTTTGACCCAGCACATATGATTTGCCAATCCAATCAATCCTAATCCATGTATCATTTTATTTCAATACTCAATATTTGTCTTACATTTCTACCATTTTATTGAAAAAACTTGTAAATAAAAACATTGCTATCAATGCAAAGCATCGGAACTATTTTTTTAATCAATTGAAATTTTTGTGTGTTCTATTTTGGATTTCAAATAAAAAATAAAATAAAATTAATAATAAAATATTACTTCTTGTGTTTTATAAGTTAATTCAATGTCTAAGGTGATTAGCTATAAACTAAAATATGAGAGGTTTTAGTGTATCTTTCCTTACAAAGCATTATTTATTGGAATAATGCTTTGTTTTTTTTACTCAATTTCAATTGTAATCCTTTTATTTTTAATCTTTTAAAAAACAAAAATCCAAATTATTTTTGCAAAATCAAATAAAAACCTAATGAAAGAATTTTTCTAACTTTTTGAGAACCCCACATCAAGTTCGCTAAAACAAACTATCAAGGCTAATCTTAAATAAAAATAATGTGGAATGATCAAATAAAAAAAAAACTATGTGACTAAAAAAAAAAAAATAGAGAAAATAAGGTTAATCTCGAATAAAATCAAATCAATATGACTAAAAAAATAAAAAACAAAAAATAGAGAAAACAAGGTTAATCTCGAATAAAATCAAATCAATGTGAAAGGAATAAATTGAAAAAAAAAAACTATGTGATTGAAATAAAAAAAACTTAAAGGACAAAAAAGTGAGAGAGGAAGCAATTTTGTTAATAATAATAATAATAATTTGATAATTTTATATTGGTCCCCTATTTGTGGAGTTTATATTTTACTGGCATTATATTTTTGGATTTGTTTCCATATTCTTAGATACAATTTATCTGTTGCCAGGGAGTTAATATTTATTTAATAAGAAATTAATCAAAGTAGGGAAAAGAAAGTAGATGGAATTCAAAGAATGATTCATTCCATGGAGTTGTTCATCAAAGTAGAAACTGAAAGCGACAAGGAAGGAACATCAACAAAGGAAAAGGAAAGAAAAGCCAAAAAAGGTTGCTATTTTCAATCATATGTTTTAAGGTATCCAAGAATGCATTTTTATAGCTAGGCTGAAGCTTTCATTATCTCCGATCGAGATAGTGTATAACATAATTTTATTTTGTTATATTAAATTAAATTATATAGATGATAATTTAATTTTATTATATTATAATGATATTGATAATTTAATCATCAATATATCATGAAACTGATAAAATAGTTTCAATCCTTGATTTTCCGAGGTTAAATATCCCAATTTATTTTCCTTCTTGAATTATTGTTAATGTATTTAATAATGTGATTTAATATTTTTTTAATAAAACTTTGCACATTTATTAGGCTTATATATAATGATTTATAATATAAATTTTAATTTACCATAAAAAACCCAAACCTAGCATAAAAATTATGACATCAACGGATGTTTTTTTTTTTTAAATATCCTTTTAATTATTCAATTTAAAGAATTTAATTCTAAAATCCCTACATGCTGATTTTTTTTAGACCTCAAAACCCAAATTTTAACGTAGTTACAGAAAATAAAAACACATAAAAACGACCCGATTTTCATCCCATAAACACCCTCTAATCTAGCTAAACACTCAAAATCAAACCTAATCCACACAAACTTTAAAGTTTCGTTCTAATTTTTTTCAAAATGATTAACAAGCCAAATCACCCCATCAAACTTCCTTCCTTCATATTAACATGTTGGATTTAAAATCGACAATTTTTATGGCTAAATGTTTCTCTTAGCCTTTCTTTTCCAATGGCTCTCTGTCTTCTTTTTCAAGTTTCAAGAACTGTAACTCTAAGAAAATAAAGTTCAACCACCAGAAAGAAAATGTCAAAAAACCGAAGGAAGAAACAGAATTTCAAGGACGGAAATGCACGGTGAAGGCACAACAGAGTTTCATGGACAGAAATGCATGCAATCCACAGTGCATTTGAGGGTGCATCAATAGTGATTTTCATTGTTCAACCATTTTTTTTAATTGCAATTGCAATGTAATTATAATGGTAATGTAATCTTCAAGCAGGTGCAGAGGCATGTTCGATTACAGTTAATACACGAATGATAATTTTCAAGAATCCTTATCATGTGCTAGATTCAAACAATTTGCAGCTCTTGCAGCTAGAAACACAGAAGAAATGACACTAGAGTGTCTTTTATGTAGATGGTTTGAACACTCCCATGCCTGAGTTTAAGATCTTAAGAGGATGCAAAGTATAAAAACACAACCCTGAGCATGTCAAAGAACATCCACTCATGACTAAAGGGTTGTTAGGTTTCAAGCAAAACATAGTTTTCCCATAAAAGAAGCACAGTTTAAAAGCATTCACGTTCTACATGCCATAACCCTAGACAGAAACAGAAATATCCTACTTAGATTTCTACAACCGCGCATTCACGTTCTACATGCCATAACCCTAGACAGAAACAGAAATATCCTACTTGGATTTCTACAACCGCAGAGCACCAAAGACGTGGTGTCAAGTTGCTAGCAACTCAAGCGAGAAGCCGGATTTAGAAGGTGGAACCATTCCAACCAAAGTGTGAACCCTGCAAAATAAAGCAAGCACCAAACCACTAGTCATGGCAGGAAAAACAATAAAATGGCAGTCACTATGAACATAATCAGAAAATAAGTTCAATTCTAAGGGAATTCAGTAACTATTTTCACAGTTGAAAACAGTAAGGATTCATTTACATGATCTAGTACTGGTGTAAAGCATGCAAACACTGTGCATATTCTTGGCTTTGATGGGCCTAAACAAACAGCAAGAATGCAATGATAAGAAATATGCAAATGGCAATGATCATCTTCTTGACAATTAGAAGTTGAGATAGCTTGCCTTGGCATCAAAAAACTTGAGGAAGAACCGTGACTTGGGAACCGACAGCTTTGACTCAAGAATTGTTGCAATTGCAGAACTCAGTTTCTTGTTCACATCACTGTTAAGGCCACCAACAGATACCAGTTCACCATAAGCTGCTGGCTGCTCGGTTCCTCCAAATGACATTGGAACTGAGCCCTTCAACACAATCATCACATACTGCATGATTGCACGCACAAACGGTTAAAAGACATATCCAGTGGGAAACCATGATAGCAATCAATGCAAACAAGCAAATTCCTTTTAGGTTGTACGAGCTGAAAAATAACACAAACATAAAAGCAGGAAAAAAATTAAATTTTGAGACATTGAGTTTTGCAGGTGTAGGTGTACAGAACACAATTGTCGTCCGCTATAAAGATAAACTAGCAAAGAACAGTCAGTGAAAAAATCCATTTCATCTTTCATGGCCAAACAAGTGACATCCGAATTAACTATATTATAAGCTTACACGAATCAATCACTATATTATAAGCTTACACGAATCAATTCAGCCAAATCACTCTTTGACCATTGGAGTTAAGTTCTCAACGAAACTCTTCAAAAGAGAAACCTCCCAGAAAGTGAAAGAAATAGCCACGGCAGACAAAAGCCCAACTAGATACTCAAAACCTAAACTTATCCAGTTCAAAATCAAATGATAAACAACCCAATCATATCAAGCGAGTTTAGAACCATAAACAAACCCAAGCTGCCATGGACCCCCCAAGAACTCAAGTATCCAGGAGAGAAGATTGTAAACAAGCATATAAATAAACTTAAGGCAATCAAACTTAACATCAACAAAAACCCTTAAACATTACAAAAATGAATATTTCCAAAACTTTTGAGCATCAAGAAAATATAAATACAGTGAACCAATTTTAATAGCAGCAGCTAGAATACACACTAACCAAATCACTAAAAACCCACTTTAGAACTTTTAACAGACTAATTGTTTCAATAATACAAAATCTTTTCTTGTACTGAGTAACTCACAAAAAAGTTGTAACAGTCCATAAATTCTTAACATTGCAGCAATCAAAAAAACATTAAAGAATCTGAGGCAAAAGAAAAAATCTTACAGACTCGGGTTTTTTGATGATTTTGGCTACTTGAGAGGAGGCTTCAGAGAGGATGGCAGATGTATTGACGCCATCAAGATCAACGTTCGTCGAAATGTTCAAGCAAGGCATTTTCTCTGTCGACACTTCACAGCACTCACTTGTTATTCTTCGCTGCACATAAAACCCTCCTCCAAATAAAAATAAATAAAAGAGAAAACCGTCACCACACTTGCCTTCTATGGATTGTTCTGGAAATATAAATTGGTGAAATGACTGACGGACCCTTATTGTATCGAAGTGCTTTTTATTTTTAACTCAATTGGTGTTTGGTGCCCTTCACCTCCTAATATTAAAAAATATTGAAAAACAAAAAATTATGCCTTTTGAATATAATTGTAAAACCGAGCCTGCTGCTAGGAAGGCAGTTGGGTTTACGAGGGTAATTGTAGTTATTTTTTAAATTATATTTTATTTAAAATAATATTTAAAGTATTATTTTATTTTTAAAAATTATTTATAATATTAACATATTAAAAAATAGAATCGCTAAGCTTTAGCTGCCATTTAATTATTAGTCATCCATTACAAGTATAATTATTAAAAAATATTATTTTAATTTTTTAAAATAAATAGATTTATATCAAAATAAGATGATCAACTTTTTTTTTATTTGAAAACCCGACTAGGACTAGGTCTCGAGACTTCCACCAACAGGGAATGAGTTTAATACGCAGGATTACAAGGGAGGTAACATTCCATTATAAGTTGTAAAATATTTTCAAAACCTCTGTATCTTTATATGAGGAGCCTGCTTTGATATTTCTTTACATGCTGTCTGGAAATTTTTAAATTGAATTTAGTATTTAAAATTATTTTTAAAATATTAATTTAAATTTCAAATAAAATTCAAGTCATAAAAAATAATAAAAACACTACAAATCAACTCCTCCTCATCAACTATTTGTTCAAATGATTGACTAATCTATTTATTGTGTTTATGTGGTTTTTCTATATATTTAGAGCCATGGAAATATATATTTGTTATTAGGCTCAAGCATCGCATCCAAGTTCAGGTATTGAATGTGTGTCCAATATCATATGGACTCGGGCATTGCACTTGAACCCAAGCATCAAGTCTACACTCAATATCCTTTGAGCTCGAGCAGCTCGCTTTAGCTTAGATATTAAGTGAATGTCTAGTATTTTATATGAACTCGGATAACACCCTCAAACCTAAGTGTGGGTTGACACCCAATGTTTTTTGGGCTTGGACAATATTTTCAAACTTAGTATCTCATGGACTCGAACACTGCACCTAAATCCTAAACAAATAATTATATTATGATGATATTGATTATTTTAATTATCACTATATTATGAAACTATGGTAAAATAGTTTTAATATCTAATTTTTCAATGATAAAGGAAGAATATTTCAAATTGTTTTTTTATCTTCAATTATATTAAGTTCTCTAGTAATGATTTTATTGTTATTTTATTTATGTGCTAGAAACAACACCTGCTAATATATCTTTCCAATCAAAATATAAAGTTGCACGTCTTCGAATAAAAAGAGGAAACAAATTTGACTAGTGGGGAGGTAGATAATCACTTCGGCAAATTGGTTTCTTGTATTGGCTAGACTATCTTTTACCTAGAAATATTATATTACAATTACAATTACAATTAAAATTAAAATTAAAATAAATAAAAGGTTTAGTTATTTATTGTATTTACATTCACATTGCACGCTGAACTCGCATAAAAAAAATAATTGTTTTATCCTTACCAACTAAAAAACTTATACTTAGTATGAGGGGTAAAATAATCTTTTCAAAGGAATTAAATTGTCAATTAAATTAGTCTTTTTACTTTTAAGATGCACAGTAAATGCTCCTCAAAACTAAGTTAATTGAACTTGCAAGTGGGGCCTTTCCAAACATTTCAACTTTTTTGCATAATAAAATCCCCAAATTACTCTTCAACTTAAATTTTCTTAAAGTTACGGTTAAGGGCATTTTTTATCATTTCATATAGTTTTTTTTTTGCAATTCACATGTTGTCTCAAGGATATTTAAATCTTTTAATAAAAATAAAATATTATTTAAAATAAAAAACAATTAGCATGTGAGTGTAAGAGCATCTCATACACTTTAAGAGGTGTCTGTAGTGTCTCTTAGTAATCAAACATCATATTTAAAGGTTTTCAAAACATCTAATTGTTTTTATCAAGGAGGTGTGGTGTGTGTTGCTTTCCTTTAACGGTGAAACTCTTAACAATATTTCTACTCCTCCCCATTTTTTCTCTCTTCTTGGACTCTAAAAACTCAAACAAACTATTATTTATTTATTTTATCAAATTTAATTTTTAATTTTTTTGATTGTATAAAATTTGATTTAAATATTTTTCAATTTCATTCTTTGTCATTTAATTTTTATATCAAATCTAGTTTTATTTTTTTATTTTTATTTATTTTTTTCTTGTACTTTTCTTTATTGAGATTTTTTTTAATTTCATTTCTCAATATTTAATTTTTTTTTTATATCAAATCTGGTCTCCATTCTTCTCAATTCTATTTTTTTGAATCCTTTTGTTTTGGATTTTATTTTATTTTATTCTATATTAAACACAAGTATAACATCTTAATGCTATGTGTATTGAATCAAAAAAGTTAACATTTACAACTATTTATTCATTTTTTTAAATACACATGTTTGTTACACACACAAGTACAAAATCATCGAGAAATGCAAGAAATATTAAGGATTCAGAGTGTATATAAGTACAAAATCATCGAGAAACGCAAGAAATATTAAGGATTCAGAGTGTATTTAATATTATAGTAATAATTACTTTTTATTTGAAAATATATCAAAATAATTTTTTTTTTATTTTTAATATCAACATATCAAAACAATTTTAAAAAGCTATTATATAGCTATTTATTTTTCAGATCTTTAGCAAATGGCATTTCAGCTATAATGCAAACACGCTTTTAATTGATAAAATTTATAGTTTAAAAATTATATAAAATTTATATGTTTAGATTAAAAAGATTTTTTGATATAGTATAAGAGATATGATGAGTTTAAATCTTACACATTAATATTCCTCTCAAATTAAAATTAAAAATTAAATATAAGGTAATGGTTAAAAAATAATATATACTAAAAGATAATATAAAATTAATTAATAGATTTTATCTAACAATTCAAACTTCTATATCCAAATATCTATTTTAAAAGTGTGAATATTGACCATGTTTGTTTCTGTATTTTAAAAGTACTTTTGAAAAAAATTAAAATTTTATTTTATTTTTTTATTGACTTAAAATTAATATATTTTTAGTGTTTTTAAATCAATTTGATATGCTGATATCAAAAATAATTTTTAAAAAATAAAAAAAATCATTAACATGTATTTTTATACGAAAAACTATTTGAAAATCAATTACAATTACACTTCCAAACAAACCCATTGTCTAGCACCATCGTTTAGCTAATTTTTGAATTTTTTATCAAATTATTTTTTTAAATATTTTTAGAGTTTTTTAATGTGCAAATATTAAAAATAAAATTTAAAATTTTAAAATATTATTTTAATATATTTTTAAAAAAACACTTCAAAAATCAAAATCCACCACTGTTTTAAATACTCCCACTAATAAATTGAGACCACTATTTTAAAACCCAAATAATCTAATAGGTTGATCCATAACAGGTTGATTTATAATTAGGTGATTCAAGATCTAGATTAAAATAAACTTTAATAAAAATAGAAAGATAATTAATTTAAATCAGGTCTAAAATTAAACCTCTGATGAATGCTTCCTAAAAAACAGAAAGAAAATACAAGGACCAGCAACATGTTGCTGCCGACACAATTTGCGGCATTGACAAGCCTCATGCAGCGCAAAAGGAGCCTCCTTTGAAATCATACGCAAGATTCCCAATCAGATTTCATCCTTCCAAATGAAAAGGAAAGGATCATCTCTGGTTTGCATGTCAATTTGTTGAAAGCTAAAATGGGGAATTATTTCTTAAGCATGCTCACTCCAAATATTCTCGATAAACATCGCCAAATAATCAGAAAATAATACAACAATCATATATAGATTTCAATCCCAAAAACAAATCATGTCACATAGGCACCATAGTACAACACTAATGTCGACCAAATGTCAAGCCAACATGATATTTCCCCATTAAAAAGGGACTCCACATGAAAATAAAATAAAATCTATTTTATCAAAGCCAAGCTTCTACAAGAGGAGAAAACCTAGACACATCTTATTGAATAATGTAGGAGACTTCAAGCTTGGGGGCTAGAATATTGCTGGCTTTAGAAGGTGGAACCATTCCATCCAAAGTGGGTACCCTGCAAAATAGAGAACATATCAGCATCATCGATGGTGGCAGCACAAGAACCATATATAAAATTAATGGCTGCTAATATTCTAGCAGGACCAGGCATGCAATGCTACGAAATATGTGTGCATGCCAACAATCCATGTTCTTGACAGTTAAAAGTTGAGATGGCTTGCCTGAGAGTCATAGAATTTAAGGAAGATTCGTGACTTGGGAATGCCCAGCTTTGTCTCCAGAACTTCTGCAATTGCAGCACTGAGATTCTTGTTCACCTCAGGGCTAAGACCACCGATGGACACCAACTCACCAAAAGCTGCTGGCTCCTGAGATCCTCCTAATGAAATGGGTATGGATCCCCTCAATACAATCATCACATCCTGCATGAAAGCACACATGAAAATGGTTGAGCAAAGGCAGATCCAATCTCCAAAATATGACATCAAAAGACAGAATGAAAATAGCAGAAAGGAAAAAAGATTTGCCCAGAATACAAAATGGATTCTCTATGACCAAGTGATTTAAATTAAAATCACATATAAACCCCAAATTCATAAGACTCCACCAAGAAATCAAGCCTGGTCTCACCTATACATCCAAGAAATCTTTAAATGTCTACAAATATTGTTTTTCATGAAATAATGAATAAAAATTCACATGTTTTTTAAGAAAAAGACAGATCTTTATTTCAGAAAAAAAATAAAAAAAACACCAGAAAGAGAAATATTTTTTAAAGAAAAAAAACACCAGAAAGAGAAATATTTTAGGATGGTCCAAAATCTTCGAAGTCTTAAAATACCAGGAAAAAAGAAGAAAATAAACAAAATCTATTACATATAGAGCCAACCACATGATCACTGAATAGTCCAAAAGAGCACGAAGGGAATTGAAAACACAAATAATTTAAAGAACTTTATATAGATTGCTTGAAAATAATAATTAAAAAAAGGGGGCTGAAAACAAGACTTACGGCCTCAGTTTTGCCTGCAATGATCTTGGCAAGTTTAGCGGTGGCTTCAGATTGGATAGCAGAGACATCAACGCCATCAAGGCTGACGTTTGTGGAAATGTTCAAGGCTGGCATCTTCTCTATCAAAAAAAGTACAGAATCCTTTTATCTCTTTGCTGTTAAGGGTGCCAATCAAAGTAATACAAGCCTGTGTTTCCTGCTTTATCTTGGTTTTTTTTATTCTGTATCCACCATTTATATAGAGGTGCATGGTCATACCTTGTTCGGTCAAAGGGGACGGTTAGATGAGATATTATTGGATCCTAAGAGAGGTAGTCGTTTACAATTCTTCTTGCAACTTTTCCAAGATGGCAAACACCGAGGGTTGCGACTTGCGAGAGTGTTCTAGAGAACAGCTTTGGTTTTTATTCACATCATGTTGCGTCTCTCTCTTATCTGTTTTTTCTTCTTTTTTTAATCTACGCCCACCTTACTCCCATTTTCTTTTTTTTTTACAAGTCATTTTATGTGCGGTGGACAACTTGTAGTATCATGCATAATTTAGAGTTTTATAACCCTAAAATCCTATTTCTAATTGTTTTCATATAAAAATAGTCTCTAATATTTCTAAAAATAAAAATTAAATGAAAAAAACTTTTAAGCATCCTATTTTATTTTTTCTGACATAATTAGTAAGTAATACCATCTTCATTGAATTTTACTCGAAAAAACAAACCAATTGCCATCAAAATCACATTTTTTTTTTTAGCAATAATGAATCATCTATTTATTTACTTGTCTCCACTTGGTTTTTTAATTTCTTTTTTTTTTGTATTATATATAGGAGGATTATGTACTTCCGTTTTTTAAAACTCGTGGCTTGTAAAAATAGTCTCGAGGGAAAATAATCTCTCCCTCTCCTTTTTTTTTTATTGAACTAAATTATATTAAATTATGAAATTAATTCTCTAAGTAAGAATTGTTCTAAATGTTAATTAGGTGCAGTAAAAAAGCTATATTTTCATTATTTTTAAGAAGAGGGTTTTCTTTCACCCATTAGTATTAAATCATATATTTCTCAATTTTGTAGGAACGGACGGGTTGGATATTGACTTTTCAAGCCAATTTGATGAAGACATGGCTCCCCTGTGCAGTAAAAAAGCTATATTTTCATTATTTTTAAGAAGAGGGTTTTCTTTCACCCATTAGTATTAAATTATATATTTCTCAATTTTGTAGGAACTGACGGGTTGGATATTGACTTTTCGAGCCAATTTGATGAAGACATGGCTCCCCTTATAAATGAAGACAATACGCGTGAAGCCACTTTTGAATTGGGATTTAATTCACTTGATGAAGCATATGCCTTTTTCATTTTGCAATTTACTAAAACTATTCGATTTGGCACTTCAAAGTTTGCTAATTGTCACCCCAGAATCTCTACTGAATTTCTTGGCGAAAATCTTGCAATTCCAAGAGTTGTTCAAATATAAAGTGCAGACATTTTGTGATATAAAAGGTGTATTTGTTTTTGTGTTTTAAAAATATTTTTGAAAAAATTTAAATTTTTTTTATATTTTATTAATTTTAAATTAATATGTTTTTAGTATTTTTAAATTATTTTGATGTATTGATGTCAAAAATAATTTTTTAAAAATTAAAAAAAATTATTAACATGTATTTTGATTAAAAAAATTATTTAAAAATCAACAATAGCTACACTTTTAAATATACTCAAAGTTTAAATCTTGAAGGGAATAAGAAGAATTTGAGCATTGTTTCTTGGAAAAACAATTGCAAGCAATTGATGCCTACTTTCATGGAAAAAGAAAAAGAAAAAAAAAAGAATAAAATCTTTGGAGCTACGTCTTCGATTCATGGATCTAAAAATATAAATTCTCATTTTTCGGGATAAACACGTGTTAAAAAAGAATACATCCAAGTAGTTTCTAGAGAAGCACAAGAAAGAGAAAAGGAAGTCTTTCTTACTGATTTTAATGATTTTAAGGTGGCTTGGGAATCCATTTTTGAAGTCTCCATTACCTTTTTGGAAAACAGTAGCTGGGAGTGTTTGTTTTTTTGCTGTAATTTTTAAAAAATTGATTTTTTTTATTTGAAGTTAATTTTTTAATGTTTTTTATTTTTTTTAAAAATTGATATTAAAAATTAATTTTAACAAATAAAAAAATATTATTTTAATCTATTTTTAAATAAAAAATAATTTGAAAAACTAAAAAAAAATCAGTAATATCAAATACACTGTTAAAAGACTTTAAGAGATTCAATAAAAAGAAAAAAAAGTGACATAATTTTGACATTTAGAGTTTAGGATTTTGCATTGAAAGCTCTGGTGGACCTAAATTAGTTATTTCTTCAAGAAGTTCACCACAAACTTGCCCAATGGGTTTACTCGGCAAAAGCACCACCTTATATTCAAGCCTTGCCTGGCTTTCAATTTAAACAAAAGATGAAATTGGCTAGACTAAATTTGATTAACAAGAAAAGTTAACTCATGTCCGTACTTTAATATTTTTTTAAATAACATTATATTAATAAAAAAATAATTAGCTCCAGTTGATTTAGTGATTAGTAAATTAATTTAGTAATTTAGAACCCGACCCGACCCAAAAGATCAATCCAGAACTTGTTGATCCAGAACTGGAACAAGGTCAAGTTTAAAAAAAATAAAGATAGTTAATGACCTAATTGACTGAGTAACTCAGTTAAAAATGATTACAATCTGTTGATTATTATTTTTTTTATTAAAATAATATCGTTTGAATTTATAAAAAAATAAGGTTAATCCAGTGAAATATGATGAATTGATCAAAATTCATAATTCAAGTTTTGGGTCAGTCAACCACCAGGTGAAGTTTTAAAATATTGCTTAAAAACCCAATTTTTTTTAAGTCAGATCTCAACCTGTTACATCAATAAAAACTAAAAAAAATTGAAGGCTAAACACTATTCATTTAAACAAGAAATCTCCTGCTTTTTAATTTTTTTTCAATTGTATTATTTTATGGTATAATTATATGAAATTAAGTTTTAAATTAAAATAAAAAGAAAATATATGGCTCACCTTAAATTTATAATAATTTTTATTTTAATTTAAAATTTTATTTTATTTATTTTTTAATTGTTGACTTGAGGAGAAGTGATAGAAAGTTATTAAAGAAAAAAACAATAACGAAGAAAGAAAATAGTTAATTATCACAATACGAACAACAAAAATACCAAACTTGATATTTACTTATTCCGTTCAATGAAAAGGTGCGGTGAGCTTTCCTTATAAACATGTTTTGAAAAAAAAGTTTTGTTTTGATTTTTTATGTTCAATTGATTTAAGTATTTTTAATGACTTTAACAAGTAGATTAAAAATATTTTTATAGTATTTATTAAATATTTTAAAATAAAAAATAGTTAAAAATTAATTATGAACCCAAAAATTTATATTTCGCAATTTTCCAACTACCAAATAATGGCCGAATTTCAAGCTGTCGTCTGCTACACTTCACCTCATGTTTTTTTTATATAAAAAAAATTACACAAGTTAAAAAAATTCTTAGCCCAACCTGTAGCGCTGCAAAAGAAGTAAAGCAGTAATAACCAAAATAAATGTCACCAGGACTCAAACCTGCTTCACCAGAGAAAGCAACTACATAAACATCCAATCGTTAGGCTACACCTGTTATATAAACACCCTTCCATTACTAGTAAAACAAAGATCGGTTTTGGCTAATTAGCTAAAAACAATCTGAATACAATTTCTCAGAAAGCAAGGCCAAAGCACTGCAAAGAACATTATTGCTCATAAGCTGACAATGGTTCAATAACAACAGATATTCACTCCCAGAATCCAGATCATGTGCCGTGAGCACCATGATGCAAACATGGTGTTTCCCCTTGAAAGGGCTAACAGCATTCACATTCTGCGTACACATGGCTACAAGGATGGATATCTGAACAGCTTAACAAGGCTAAGTTTCTGTAATAACAGAACACCAATGGCGCATATCTTATTGGATCTCTGACATTAGTTCGAAGACAACAAAGAACGAAGCTGGATTTAGAAGGTGGAACCATTCCACCCAAAGTGGGTGCCCTGCAAAATGAAGCACATATCAGTATCATTGATAGTGGCAACAAGAACCACACAAAATGGCTGCTAATGAGGACACAATCTGAGAAAAAAAGTATAGTTTGAACCCTAAGGCACGTTTAATTTAACTTAATAACTATGCTCACAGTTTAAAGGGGAAAAAAAGGATTAATTTACAGGATTTGATGCAGATATCAAGCATGCAAACATCATGCATATTCCTGGCTATGAAAGGCCTAAATAAACAGAAAGAAGGAATGCAATATGAAGAAAAATGTACATTGCAATTATCCACGTTCTCGATGACAATTAAGAGTTGAGATGGCTTGCCTGAGAATCATAGAATTTAAGGAAGAGCCGTGACTTGGGTACTGACAACTTCTTCTCCAGAATTGATGCAACTACAGAGCTCAGAGTCTTGTTCACATCAGGGCTAAGGCCACCAATAGATACCAACTCCCCATAAGCTGCTGGCTCCTCAGTTCCTCCTAATGAAATTGGAATTGATCCCTTCAATACAATCATCACATACTGCAAGACAACAACCATAAATTACAAAGAACGCACATTCCATAGCTAGAATTCACCAAATAAATTAATAACTGACAAGAAAAACTCATGAGTATCTGGCCCAGGTATTGTTTACAATGGCTTGTATTCTAACAAAGCACAGGAAGGAGGTTGGAAGTCGAGGTGTAAAGAACATGATTCTTGTCCAATGTATTGATAAGTGAGTAAAGAAATCACTGTAATCTAGCAAAATCTATTTCAATTTTCAAATGGTACTGGCCATAGTAAACACCATCACAAATCAGGCAAACAAAACCATAGCTATCTATATCAGAATTGAATAATCCAGATCCCAGTGCTGTGGATTCTTCATCAAGTGATGTTAGATTCATAAAAATAAAATAAAAAACCAAACTTCTAAGATCCAACCAAGACATCAACCGAATTTTAGGTGATCAGTAAAACTAACAAACCTACCAGACAACACCTGCCAGACAAATTTTTCAGATCAAATATAAAAACCCACAAGTGGATTAATAAACTGAACAACACTAACTGACAAGCTTGAAATTAATGAACGCATGAAAATTAAAGAAGGAAAACACACTTACTTTCTCAGGTTTGCCAATAACCTTGGCAACTTCAGAGGTTGCTTCTGAGAGGATGGAGGAGGTGTCAACTCCATCAAGGCTGACATTTGTGGAGATGATCAAAGCAGGCATCTTCAGTCTCTATGTATATAAAAGTTTCTCTGTTTTTTGTGTCACTGTTTGCTATAATTGTTGTAGCAGCGGGTAAAATAGAGAAGGGAAAGCTTACCAAACTTCAATGTATCTTGGCTTCTCTGGATCCACCATTTATAAATGGCAAAGGAAATCCTAGTTACCAAACAGCCCTTAGTTGAGTGGCTGTATACCATTGCGATAAAAAAAAAGAAAAAAATTGCCTACGCTTTTTGGTCAATTTGATATTGCTGGGCAGGGACCACAGCGTTCCCACCTTGTCCGAATAATTTTGAGTTCAGATCTCAATGTAAGAAAAAAATAAAAGAAGAGAAAAAAAGAAAAATTCTCTTTTGATTTCACAATATTTTTTGGCATCGGATTAACCTCATAGTTAAAAAGTATGATTTTTTATTTTATTTTTTGAGTTCAAATCTCATTAAATTTTTTTATTAAATTTGTCTATATGTATTATATTGACATAGATATATATTTTTAAAATTAATTGAGAAAAATGTAATTTTAATTAATATATAGATTATTCTGGTAATATCTCTATGAAATAAAAAAGTTTATGAATTCAAGAATTCTTGATTCAATGGTATTGAATATATTTAATTGTTTCTTTAAATAAAAATTTTGAAATTTATTTATTTAGTTTTCAAGATTTTAATCCAAAATGGCATATATATATATATATATATATATATATTCTTTTCAGGTGATATCATATAGTCAATTTAAAAGAAAATTTATATTTTAAAGTAGTAAATTTAGTGATTTTATCCGAGGGAGCGTCCTGCTATTGTATTAGTCAAATTTAAAAGATAAAAATGGTTATGGGATTTTATAGTATGAGCACTGTTTTTATCCCTGCTCTTAATTGAGCTTCCTAGCCCTTCTTTTAATCGTTGGTGTTCTTAGAGAAGGGCTTGCAAGTTAAATCAATTTATTGGTTTATAGTTGATGAACATTCATGTGATGGCTGTTGTTTTTTTTGCGATTTTTATCTTCTTTCCTCTAGATGTTTTTCCACCATGTATCACGCTGCATCTTCTACTGTTGTTCACTGCCTTTCCTCTATTGTTTCAGGCAGTCATGTTTGGTGGCTTCATTTGTGATGTACGTTGAAAAATTTTATTTCTATGTTGATTAATTCTATTTACTTGATGTCCATTTTGAGTGCTTTCGGTTTCTTTCCTATGTAACTTCGTGTTAGCTGTTTGAAAATTAAATAAAACTTGATGTAATTATTTATTAGAAATTTTCAGAGATTATGTTTTATATACGGTTAAAATTTAAAGTTAATCAACTATTGAAAAGGTTTTAAAATAAGATCAAAAAGATATTATAGGAAACTATATTATTTTTCTAATTAATTTCATTGTTAGATTGAACTGAAAACTTATTAGAAATTTTCAGAGATTCTGTTTTATATATGGCTAAAATTTAAAGTTAATTGACTATTAAAAAGTCTTAAAATAAGATCAAAAAGATATTGCAGGAAACTATATTATTTTTCTAATTAATTTATGATTCTTTTTTCTATTTAGACTAATATTCTTTTATTATTTTTCTAGACTTGTTTAGAAAGTCTTTTTACCTATTATAAACAGAATTATTTATTATTTATTTATTTTTTTCTATAGATTTTAATTTCAGAATAATATTGCTTATGTGTGAGAGATATTCTTGTACTTTTTAGTTATTTAAAGAACCTATTTTACTTATTGAAGAACAACTATCTTTATAGTGTTTTATTTATACTTTCTATTCATAAATTGGTATTTATGGGACGGGGTTTTTTTCCAATAATTTTATTATTTTGATTTAAATAATTTCCGTGTCACACTCCTATAAAACTTGACTTTTTAACTTTTCAGGATTTGTCTTTCTTGCGTGTGGATTGCATAACCACGTAATTAGGAGGTTTAAATTAATTGATATCATAGCTTGATTCTTTTTATCAAATTATATCCTTTTGTTTGTTAGAACTCATTATTTCCGGTTTTCATCTATTCCTTTTGAATTGTGACAACTACTACACTTATAAAAAAAAATATTGTTGTGTTTTGTTTTGTTTTTTTAGTGTCTCTATATATATAAGTAACATAGAAAGTAAGAAAAAAAAGTTATTAAAACAAAGACATTATTAATATTGTTGTAGAAATTAAAATAAAGTGAACACTTATAAAAAAAAATATTGTTTTGTTTTGTTTTGTTTTTTTAGTGTCTCTATATATATAAGTAAGAAAAAAAAGTCATTAAAACAAAGACATTATTGATATTGTTGTAGAAATTAAAATAAAGTGAAATTGATAAAACCATATTGAATTTTTTTGAAAATTTATATTCTGGTTATTTAGAATCTAACGACACTATATATAAAATTTGAAATCAATTGGACATTGTTTGGTTGAGATTCTAGATTCAAGTTTAGTTTGTATAAAACATGTTTAAATTGTATCAATTATTGAAACTTGCTTTGCTACTATTGAAATTGATTTGTGAAATATACTAAAGTATTTTTTGGGATATTTGGGTGTCAATCAAGTTATTTTCATAATATCCACTTTAGATTTTTTTCCTGTCTTAAAAAACATTTACTACTCATGAAATTGTAATTGTAGTTTTTTCTTTGCTTATTTTCGTATATTTATTGTTTCTTGACTCAATTATATTTATTTGGATTAAGCTACTAAGCTGTTCTTTTTGGTTGTGTTAATTTTGGTTTTGTAAGAGAAAAAAAAAGGTGAGATGAGAGAAAAATAATATAGCAAAAATATTATATTGAAAAACCTATAATTAATGTGAAACATAAGAGGTGTGAGGATATTTTTTCTACTTATAACCTTTTTACAAACTTAAAATGTTTGAAGGAAAGGGAGATACACCACTTTTTACTAAGAATAACAACCCAAAACTTCAGATTTAAGGTCTAGCATAAATATTAGAGAGGTTTAACCTGGTGGTTAGTATGTCACTATCCAATTTTTGACTTTATGTTTTGATAAATTAAAAAAAACAACAAAAAATAGGAAAAAACAACAAAAACCCAAAAAAAATACATTATTGATATATTTGCATCGTTTTTAGCATTTTTAGAATAATCTCAAAATAATTTAAATTTCAAAGGTTTGTTAAAGGTGTTTAACTTTTAATGTGTCCTTTTCAAAATTATTGATTTTTAGCATCATCTCAAATTAATGATATTTTTATCTATAAATAGGGAAGAAAATCTAAGGTAGGGGGGAGGGGAGAGAAATTTTAAGGCAGGGGGTAAAAAAAAAACGAGTCAGAAGAGAACCCTAAAAAACAAACTTTCTTTTCTTCATATCTTTTATAGACCAGCTGCAAGCCTCCATTTTCCTTTTCCATAGAGGCCAACCACTCCTTTATGTTTGAAAAACTAGAGATCTCTCTCTGACACTCCATCTTCCCCCTTATCTCCCCCAATCAAACAACACAGAGCATTTTCTCTTTTTCTGGAAGTAATAGATCTGATGACGATGAGGTGTCATTTTCAGAGGATTGTAGTGATGTTGAGATTGCATGCTTGGTTAAGAAGAAGGCCTTGATTATAAGGTGTGTGCTTACTATACAAGTTAAAGAAAATGATGTTGATAAGCAAAAAGAGAACATCTTCCATACAAGATGTCAAATCCAAAACAAGGTATGTAGTATGATAATTGAGGGAGGTAGTTGTGCCAATATAGCTAGTACTACTAATATGATAATTGAGGGAAGTAGTTGTGCCAATATAGCTAGTACTACTCTTGTTTGGATGTTGAATTTGAGTATTGTAAAGCATTATAAACCTTATAAAGTACAATGACTAAATGAATATGGTGAAGTAAAAGTAACTAAGTAGGTCTTGATTTTCTTTTTTGTTGGGAGATATACTAATTAAATGCTATATGATGTGATTCATATGCATGATAGTTAAATAGGCATAAAATTATAAAAGATGACTAAACCATCACCAATGTACTTTTATCTCCAAAGCAAGTGTATGATAATCAAATAAAGTTGAGAAGAGAAAGCGAGGCCAAAAAGATTGAAAACTTAAGTTAAGAGCACGGTGAGAGAAGAAACTTAGATTTGTCCACTAATCAAAACTTAATGAATTTGGTTGATGGTGGAGGTAGGAAAAGAGGAGAGAAGAAAATAAGTGTGTGAAGTATGAACTATGTGGAAAAATTAAAGAAACAATCATATTTTTATACAAGAAATGGGGAGATTAAATATGCTTTTTTATACTAACAAGCCAATGACTATACTTGTGTATAAGAAGACTTATTTTAATACTAACGATCTCGATTATGTTGTTTCTAGTGCGACTATTTCTTTATTGTAGGAATTTGATAATGTCTTTCCCGAAGATATTCCTAATGGTTTACCACCATTAAAAGGAATCAAACATCAAATAGATTTTGTATCTAGAGTTGCAATCCTAACTGACTAGCCTGCCAAAGTAATCTTGATGAAATAAAGAAACTTTAAAGGCAAGCGAAAGGGTTGATGACATTAGTTTACATTCATGAGAGTGTAAATCCATATGTTGTTCTAGTTTTATACATACCTAATAAGGATAAAACTTGAATGATATGTGTTGATCGTCTTGCCACCAACAACATAACACTAAATATAAACATAATATACTTAGGCTTGATGATATATTACATGAGTTGCTTATATCTTGTATTTTCTCTAAAATAGATTTGAAAAGTGGATACTATCAAATTAGGATGAAAGAAGGTGACGAATGAAAATTTTCTTTTAAGACTAAGTATGGTTTGTATGAATGATTAATCATTCCTTTCAGACTTACAAATGCACTTAGTATATTTATGTGCTTGATGAATCATATATTGTGTGTTCATAGGTAAATTTGTAATTGTGTATTTTGACGATATCCTAATGTATAACAAGAACTTGAATGAACATTGATCATTTGCTTAATGTACTTGATGTGTTACGTAAAGTACAATTATATACTAATCTTAAGAAATGCAACTTTGACATTGAGAAAATTATGTTTCCCAGATATTTTGTAACTGTATAGGGTATTGAGATGGATGAAAAGAAAGTTAAGGTCATCCGATATTAGTCAACAC